CAAGCGCAGCGAGAAGCGGTTAGCTGGGCGCCAACGCGGCCCCTGTCAAGCCAAGCCCCGCGCCGTCTCAGAGGCGCAGGAAAGGCTCTCTTGATCGGCGCGAGCTCCCGCCACGTCTTGGCCCGCGGCCAGGCGCGCGGCGGCGCGGCGCGGAGCTCAGGCGCGAAGAACAGCCGGCCACCGAGCGGCGCTGGTCGCCAAACGCGCCGTCACTCGCCCCCTGGCCTCTGACATAAGTTGCCAGAGCATGGCCAGCGCCATCTGAGCACTTCGGCCTATCTCGGGGCGGCTCGTCAACGGGGCGGTCTACCGATGCGGCGTGACCGAGCATGGCGCAGTGGCCCGCCAGACGCCCAGGGTAGAACTCCCCGCCGCTCGACGTGGGCGCGAAGAACTCTGCCGCTGCCGAGCCCCCAGATCGAGGTCTCAATCTTGCTCGCGAGCTCAGCGAGCTTCAAGTCGCCGCGGCGCGCTCCATCATGCGCAAGAACTCTTTCTCCTCGACGTTGGCGGTAGCCATCTCGGCGCCGGGGGCGCGGGCTCCAACCAGCGCGCACTCCTCCAACGCTTGTCCTCGCAGGCAAGCTAGCAGGCCTTGAACCGCTGCGCGAGCGCGCCCATGGCCTCGCGGCACCTCCCCATCGAGAAGACAATCGAGCACATCGGACAACACCCCCATCTCTCCGCGCATCGCGTCGCCGATGGATAAGACGGGATGCTGAGCCAGGAAGATGTTTAATCTATATTTTTGCATGATGAAAGGTAACTCCACCGTCGAAGGTGGGCGAGGCACGTGGCGAGGAACTGTCCAGGCGCATCGCGAGCAGCGGCGGGCGATCCAGCAGGCATCGGCAGCCCGTGAACCCGCCAGCGGTCCGCCAATGAAAAGTTATCCAAAAACAAGGTCGCTGGGCGCCTCGGCGAAGCCTCCTTGCGACCGAGCAGCGTGCGCAACAGGCTCGCTGCCCCTTCGCCTCGATTTCCCTCGCGAAGGGCACCAGCAGCTGGGTCGCCATCGCCACGAGCAGCATCGCTTGTCGAGCCTGGACCGCCAGACTTCTGGACCTTCTGAGCACGCTCAGCCATGACCTCCGACTTGCCATTCCGGGTTCTGGGAGGCAGCCGCATGGTCGACCTCACCTGGCGTAGCGCCCTCGCCCTGGGCGCTGAGGTAACCCTTCAAGGTGCGGAACCGATGTTGCAATGAAATCTTCGTCTGCTCGTTGGGTTCCTTGTCCGAACCCACGGCCTCGGCAGCGAAGGACCACAGCGCCGTCTCGACGCCCACCGACCGCGCCTCGTTCCCCGACCTCGTGGGCGGGAGGCCGCGGCAAACCTGCAGCTCCTCTCGCGGGCGGGGGGAATAGGGGCAGGTCCATCAAGCGGCGCTTGGACATGGACGTGACAACGCTCGAGGGCAGCCCGAACTCGCGCGATGCCACGGGAAGACCACCACAAGCTCACCGTGGATGCTGAACCAACCGATGTGCGTGACCCATGAGTTTCGGCCTGCCGTCGCGGTGCAATCGTCGACGGCTCCTGGGCAAAACTGCAGCAGCCGCTTCACACGTCGAGCACCAGGGCTGCCAGCATTCTCCTCCGATCACAGGAGGTAATGCAGAACTACAGCTCCATTCGCGCAAAGTGGCCCGAAACATCAGCTTTCCGTACTGCTAAAATGGGGTGCGCTGCCAGGCCCTGGTCCTTTCCATGCTCGTGGTAGCACTGTATCTCGATCAAATCCCCCGCTTGCAACTCGCGCTCCCCAAGGTTGCTGGCACCAGCGGGCGAGGGTCCCTCGCCGTCATCAGACATAGGACTGAGGACCGCGAGGAAGCTGGGGGGAACGAGACACAGGAGTCCATCGAACAAGCTGGCTTGGCCGAACCTCATGAGCAAAGAAGCTGCAGAGACCTAGCATCTGCAATTCGCGTGACCCCCAAATTTCAACAATGACTCCTATCAAAATTATAAGATCTATGTATAAATATATATATGTATATATAAACATAATATTCATATGCGTGTGTGCTCGTACATACACGCATACACAGCACCCCGCACTTACGGATAAGTGTGAGGGTGCGGCGGGGCTCTCGCCAAAAGCTTTCGCCCAAGACACCCCGCCCAGGACCTCCCGCCAAGGACACCCGCCCAGGACCCCCCGCCCGAGCCCCGCCCAGGACCCCCCGCCCAGGACCCCCCGCCCAGGACCCCCCGCACAGGAACCCCCGCCCAAGACCCCCCGTCGAGCAGAAACGTGCCCACAACGGCCATGCATGTCCAGCGATGAAGCAAGACCGCTCGGGCAAGCTCACTCTTATTCCGCCATTGGACTCGCCTCAGGGGTTCTCGCTTGGTTAAAAGCTGGTGCCTCCTAGTGATACGTTGCCCATTGCTCGGAGGTTCCGCGGGTTCCTCGTGCTTTTCGAGACCAGTGCCTCCTAGTATTACGTTGTCCATTTGCCGGAGGCTCCTCGGGTTCCCCGGGTTCCTCGGGTTCCCCGCCCCCGGTGCCTCCTATTGCTACGTTGCCTGTTCCTTGGGGGCTCCTCGGGTTAACCCTCGGGTTCCACGGGTTCCACGGGTTCCCCACCCCCGGCGCCTCCTATTGTTGACGTTGCCCGTTTCCCGGAGGCTCCTCGAGTTCCCCAGGTTCCTCTTGTTCCCCACCACCAGTGCCTACTATTGTTACGTTGCCCGTTCCTCGGAGCTTCTTCGAATTCACCCATGTCAAGCAATGCCAAGCAATGCCAAGCAATGCCAAGCAATGCCAAGCAACGCAAAGCAATGCCAAGCAATGCCAAGCAGTGCCAAACAATGCAAAGAAATGCCAAGCAATGCCAAGCAATGCCAAGCAATACGAAACAACGCCAAGCAATGCCAAGCAATGCCAAGCAATGCGAAGCAATGCCCAGCAATGCCAAGCTCAATGCCAATCAATGGCAGGCGATGCCCAGCGATGCGCCCAGCGATGCGCCTAACGATGCGCCCAACGATGCGCCCATTCAACAGGCTTTCCCTGATTGGGGTCGCGCCTGGCTCGCACTTATAGATATGCACACTTCTTGGTACACATCTGTACATCTATCTATATATGTATGTATGTATATATATATATATATATATATATATATGTGCATCGGTGTGTATGTATACACAGATGTAGATATAACTATGGCACATGTATCTGTGTATCTATATTTATATATATATAGAGAGAGAGAGAGATCTGTATGCACTCGTCGTCGGCGCTGTTCAGAAGCTCGAGAGCGGGGAACACGAGGGTTCAGGGCCCCTCCGGGGCCCCAGATCTGGCCGACGTCGGCGCGTTCCCCCGACACGCCGACCACAGCATCCCAATTCGACTTCAATCGATCGACAGTTCGGTCAGCGCCCACATCTATGTATATATACTTATATATATATACAGGTGTACACATCATATGCGTATACATAACGCCAAACAGATCAAATCATTACGCATGTCAAACAATGCACGTGCATTCATACATGCATACATGAATGCATGGATACAGGCATGCACAAATACGTACACATGCATGCATACACACATACAACTATACTTCATGATAATACATATATGTGATTGTTCCCTCATACATCGCTCCTGATGTTTCCCTCCTCCTGATCGTACTTGCAATCGTAAGCTTCATCCCCATGAACACCCTCATCTTCATCATGTCCCCACGCTGCCGATCTTCCAAGCCCACAGTGTCAACATAATCGGCTGCCTCAAGCATGGGCGGCCTGATTCGCGCAGCGAGATGCCTAGAGACGGGGCACTGCCCATTTTGCTCAAGCCCACTCCGAGCCACGAAGATCTTGCTCCCACGAGGACGCAACTCTGTGAGGCAAGCCTGAGCCCTGTTGACCTGTACGCTGCCTCGCGCAGCTGTGGAAGCCTAGCCCCTGGGATCGATCACCGTCCGAGCGGGAAACCCGAGAAGCTCCTCTCGCATGACGTGCCCCCGCGTCAGCTGGCCACCGTGCAGGCCAAGGGGGCGCAGGAAAAGCAAGGGCGACACTCCAGGGGAATCCAGGCAGCCAGTCAGAAGGTGATGGCCACCAACAGCCTGCGGCGCTGTTGTTGCCTCTCCTCCGGAGGGCCTGCTGGATTCCGACTCGCCCACCCCGGCCCTTGGGGCGGCGAATCTGCTGACCGACCACGGCCGCAGACACGGCACGGTGGCCCGCCCCCCTCGCTCCTCCACCCGAGCTTCCCTGCACCGTGCGCGAAGGGCCTGTCGGCAGGGGCGCGAGCACTCCCCGCAGCTGCGCTCGGCTCCTCGGGAGGTCCAGCGTTCAGAGACCCAGGGGAATCTGACATCGTGCCCCCCTGGTCTCCGGCGTGTGCCAAGAGGCATCTCAGCGCGCCCAGTACCACTTCCGCCACCGAGTGGACAGAGGGGTCCAGAGGCAGGTGGCGCCTCCCACAGTGCCCGACAGGCTGGGGCCTGGCCAATGCGTACTGGCGATGCGTGGCGACGTGCAGACCGGCACGGCGCTCCCCGCCGCGTCCGCGTCGAGCGCGGGGGCGCGCTCGTGCTCGCGGCCTCGCTCCGCCCCCCGCGGAGACGAGCACGCCCCACCCCTACGGAGCGGATGGCGCCGAGATGCGGCGAAGAACGACATGCCAGTACTGTGTGCTGATGTTGGAGGCGCGCGTCCGGCACGAACATGTGGAGGGTTCTGGGAACCCCGCCTCCAAAGATGCCGCCATCCCTCGGTGGCGCATGTGTCACTTCTGCCTGCGCAGGCGGCTTCGTCCTGGCTCCGCCGCCCTCCGCCGAGCGGCGTGGCCAGAAAGCGCCCGCGACGGAGCTCAGCCTATGCCGCTGCAGGGTGCCTGAGCGTGCGCGTCGCCCTCGCGGGGCCCACGCACACACGGTCGTACGCGCGGCCGGGGGGTCCAAGCCGAGCGGGGCGCGCAGACCCCGGGGGCACCCTCGCTTGCTGGGGCGGGCAGGCCGCGGGTCCTGGGCCGCGCCCTCGGGCTCTGCGGGGGAGCGGTCCACGAGCAGGTGCCCAATCTGGAACGCGGGCTCCATCGCGTAGCACAGGAAGACCACAGTGATCACCAGCTCCCAGGGGCCGAAGTCCCACTGGAAAATGCAGTACATCAGGAAGTGGAGAACGACCACGCAGCAGAACGTGAGCCCGAGGACGGCGCCGGTCATCCTGAAGTCCATCGTGTAGACCAGACCCACCACCGAAAGCAGAAGCAGGGTGACGAGAACCACCCTCCAGGAGCTGGCGAGCGCTTCGTCATGTGCCTCCGCGTCAACCCACGCCACCGACGTGGCCCAGGCTCCGTTCGCGGTGGACTCTGCAGCCGCGTTCTGGCGCGTGACGTAGCTGCGCCACCTCTTCTCGCCCTGGAGGACCTCGCTTGTGCCTGACCCGTGATCCACTGCGAAGGATATCACCGTGGCCACTACCTTGTCGGACGAGTCCAGCCAGATGTCAGCACGGCGCGCGGGGTGCTCCTCGAGGAACTCCTGCACGGCTTGGTCGAAACTGCAGAAGCGGCAGGTGGGGAAAACCTCGCCGCGCTCCTCAAAGAATAACTGGAATAACCATAAACTGTCTGAACTCCGCGTGAACTCCTTCGATCGGTGCTGGACCCCCTGGCGGCGCCTCTTGCGCCGCTCCTGACGCGCTCCGCTCGCCAGGGAGGAAGGTCCAACGCCGACCCAAAAATCCGCGCAGAACTCCAAAATCTTACATGTGTGCTGTTTTTTGTTCCTTCGAGCTCCTCCAGGAAGCTCTTGAAATCCTCGATCCAGCAAGACGAGCTCTCTACCCTCAAACCCGCGGCAGCGGCGTCCGAGCACATCTTGTAGATTGCACGCTGCGCCTGGGAGTACAAAAAAGCTTGGTGTGTGATCGTGTGCTCTGACTTGTTGCGCCCTGTCGCTGCGCGCGGGGCCGCGACGCCAAGAAGTGTGTGTGTGTGTGCGTGTGTGCGTGTCTCTGAGTCTGTGTGTCTGTGTCTCTGCGTGTCTCTGTATCTCTGAGTGTCTCTGTGTGTCTGGGTGTGTCTCTGTGTGTCTCTGCGTGTTTCTGCGTGTCTGTGTTTTTGTGTGTCACGGTGTGTCTCTGCGTGTCTCTGCGTGTCTTTGTTTGCGTGCCTCTGTGTGTCCCTGTGTGCCTCTGTGTGTCTCTGTGTGCCTCTGTGCATGTGTCTGTGTATCTCGGTGTGTCTCTGTGTGTGCCTGTGTGTCTCTGTGTGTCTCTGTGTGTTTCCGTGTGTGTCTCCGTGTGTGTCTCCGTGTGTGCCGGTGTGTGTCTCTGTGCCTCTGCGTGTCTCTGCGTGTCTCTGTGTGCCTATGTGTGTCCCTGTGTGCTCCTGTGTGTCTCTGTGTGTCTGCGTGTGTGTGTGTGTGCGTGTGTCAATGTCTCTGTATGTCTCTGTGTGTCTCCGTGTGGCTATGTGTGTCTCTGTGTGTCTCTATGTGTCTCCGTGTGTCTCCGTGTGTGTCTCCGTGCGTGTCTCTCTGTGCGTCTCTGTGTGCCTCTGTGTGTCTCTGTGTGTGCCTGTGTGTGTGTCTGTGTGTGTGTCTGTGCGTGTGTGTGTGTGTGTCAATATGTCTCTGTGTGTGTGTCTGTGTCTGTGTGACTCTGGCTGTATCTGTATGTCTCTGCGTGTCTCTGTGTGTCTGTGTGTTTGTGTTTATGTGTCTCTTTGTGTGTGTGTGTGTCTCTGTGTATCTGTGTCTCAGTGTCTCTGCGTCTCTGTCTCTATGTGTGCTCTGCTTCTCTGTGTCTCTTTGTATCTGCGTGCGTGTGCGCGCGTGTTTGTGTGTATGCGCGCGCGTGTGTGTGTGTGTTTGTGTGTATGCGCGCGCGTGTGTGTGTGTGTGCGTGTATGCGCGCGCGTGTGTGCGTGTGTGTGTGTCGGCGTGTGCGTGTGCGTCGCAGCCACTGACGCGCAACGTCCCGAACCAGCACGCTGGCACGGGCTGGAAGCCGATGACTTGTGCACCCAGACCCCAAAACCTGGGCACATCACGACGCACCGGGAAACTCCGCCGGGAGCCATCCCGTGCGGGTCCGAGGGCCGAAGCAAACCTGGGGCGATGAACCCCATCAGGCATGGACACTTCGGGCCAGCCCAAACCACGGGTGCGAGCCCAGGCCCCGTCCCCTCCTCCTGTTCCTCCTTCTTCTCCCCATCTTCCTCCTTCTCCTCCCCATCTTCCTCCTCCCCCTTCTCTTCCTCCTCCTCCTCCTCCTCCTCCTCCTCCTCCTCCTCCTCCTCCTCCTCCTCCTCCTCCATGTCCGACACACCAGCGGCCCAACAAGGCCGCGCGGCCGCCCAGCCAGAGAGGCCACGGCGCTCGCGGGGCCAACGCGGGCCGAAGTTCCCAGGCCCGCACCAGAGGTGGGATGACGGCGGCTCAGCAGGCGCGCCCTCCGACCGTGCCTGCCCCTCTGGGCGGGCGTGCGCTCTGGCAACGGCGGCAGGGGGCCAGCGCACACGTTCGCGAGCCTCTTAACACGCCCTGTGGCACAGACCCACGCTCCGCACATGTGGCAGAAGATGAACAAACCTCGCGTCGGATTCGACGGAGCCGACCTGCCTGCGCGCCGCCGCCTTGTGCATCCGCTGGCGCATCCTCTGCTTAGCGGACTGGTGTACCTCTTTTCGCTCCGCGCCGCCGTCTTCAGGCGGAAGCTCCTTAGCGACGAGCGGCGCCACGGGGTCGGTTTGCCTCCAAGACGCCACCTCTCGCATGAGCTGGCGCATCCTTTGCCCAGCCGGATATTGCACCTTCTCGCGCTCCGCGCCGTCGCCCTCGTGGGGCAGCTCTTGCCAGCGTGGGGCCCTGGCCGCCCCATCAATGCTGCTGCTCTCCTTCGTCGTCCTGTTGATCTCGTTCTGGCTACGCCCAGTTGCAATCCTGTGCGCCAGCGCACGCAGCGCGGGCATGGGCGCCGCGCCAGCAGGTCGCTTACCATTCGGTCGCCCCCTCACTGGCTGGGCCTCGCCGCGGGCATCGTCGCCATGGACCTTAGCAGCAGCTGCTGCCGCGACCAGGGCCCACACTGACTACAGAAAACAATAGCTTACATGTGTAATTCCACCACCAAGCAGCATACCAATACAAAACTACAAAACAACAAATCAAGGCAGGGCCTAGCGCAGCGGGTGCAGGGCCCTTGCCCACCTTTCCAGCTGCGCCGGTCCTCGCCCCCTTGGCTCGCGGGGCGGGGGCAACGGCCACCCCTCTCCTGAGGGCCCTGTCCAGCTTGTCTGTGGGGCCATCGACCACCCCTTCCTCGAAGGCCCCACCTGGCTCGCTGCAAGCCTGGTGAGCGGGGGCATCGGTCACCTCTCCTTCGCCGCTCTGCGGGTCTGCGGGGGCACCTGCCACCCCTCCTTGGAGGGCCCCCTAGCCCTTCAACGTGGGGGCATCGGCCACCCCTCTCCTGGGGGCCCCGCTTGGCTTGCAGCTGCCTGTTCGCGCAGGGGGTTCGACCACCCCTCTCTAGAGGGCCCTGCCACACTCCTCTGCCCGCGTCTGGGCTGGCTGCTGCGCCCTCTGTCGGCACCCCTCTGGCGATGGCGCTTGTCTGCCATTTCCGCCAAGCACTGGGTGGGAGGGGGGGGGGGGGGGGGGAAAACGGCGGGATCAGGCCAGGTCCACCTCCCAGGGCCCTCGCTTGGTCCGCTCCTGGTGCAGGTTCTGGCTGGTCCTCCGACCAAGCACCGCGCCCTGGACGAGCTCTTCCTGAAGGCCGGTGTCGCCTGAGCCCAGGGTGTCGCGCACGGCTGTATCACGCGTCGGGAAACAAATCTTGCGGCATTGGGGCAACTGGACGGGTGCCCCCAACGTCTAACCCAGCCCCGGTGGAAGCGCCTGCCGTGCACGCCCCCGATGCAGCAGTGGTACTCACCACGGGTCCTTCAGCCGATTCCGCTGCCAGGGTTCCCTCACCTCCCTCTTGGTCCGCCTCCCTCGGGGCAGTCCACGGGTCTCAGCGGGTTTCGTCCTACTCGCGCTCTCAGCCTTCCAAGGATGGCCGTAGTAGGGCCGCGTAGCCGTCGGATGTGCTGTGTTCCCTGGAGTTGCTATAGCCGTAGGACGCGTAGGACTCGCCCCGCTCCCTCCAGCTCAGTCAGTCGGCAGTGTTCCCTGGCCGGACTACAAGAACACATAGGAAGAGCTCGCCCGTGCAAATCAGGTTGAATACAATACGCACATGGGCCGAGTTCAGGAAACACGTAAGAAAAGCTCGGTCGCGCACAGCAGGTGTGCGCGTGTGCGCGGAGGGGGGGCGGCTACTCTCAGCACGCAATCGGGGAAGAGAGGAGAGGGTCTACCCGCTGGGCACCCCAAGGGGTCTCGGCAGATTTCGTCCCTCCAGCTCTCTGGGGCAAGGGCAGGGCCGCCATCTCGTTGCAGATGCTCAGCTGCACGTTCCGCCTAGCTGCCACTGCTGGATGCTCTGGCCGATTCCGTCGTCGGTGCCGTCGCTGACGAGGTCAACCATGTTCGCTGCTACCGCTGAGGTGCTCGAACTCCCATCGAACATGGGGGTCTCGTGCCCCGTGCTGGGGCTTGCTTGGTGCTGTGTTGCCTCCACCCTGCTGGTCTGGTCGGGCTCGCGATCCTCCTGCACCTCCGTGCCGCTCAGTCTGCCTCGTACTTTCAGGGCCTCTGGCGCGCGTGGCCCTGCGGCGCTCTCAGCGCACTGGTCTCCTCGTTACGCTGGCGTGCCCATGATCGCCTGGCCCGCCCCTGCCCATGCCAACGGTCATGGCTGCTGGCCGTCATGCGTGTGTGCAGTGTGTTTAGTGTGTAGCGTGTATTATGTATTCTGTATTCTGACTGTGTGCCCGTGTGACTGTGTCTGTGTGTCTGTGTGCCTGTGTGCCTGTGTGTCTGTGTGTCTGTGTGTCTGGTCTGTGTGTCTGTGTGTCTGTGTCTGTGTGTGTCTATGTGTCTGTGTGTCTGTTTGTCTGTGATATGTGTATGTGTGTCTGTGTGTGTCTGTGTGTTTGTGTGTGTCAAGGGTGGTTGCGGTCCAAGGCGGCTAGACACGGAATCACGCATGTGGATACACGTCGTCTCTCATGTGCGCAACAACTGCAACACTTCAGTTGTGCTCGAATTAAGTGCCTTACCATCGGACACGGGGGGACATCCAGCCACAGGAGACGGGCTGGCCTCCCTGGACACATGAGAGCAAACGAGGTGCAAGAAACCACGTCGCGATCAGGATTCTCCAGGGACCCTCAGGATCATTCATGATTCCTCACAGCTCATCACGGCTTCTCGGGACTCTTCAAGATCCCCTGGGATTCCTGCAGATTCTTCAAGGCTCCTCCAGATCCCTGGGGGGTGCGAAAAGATTCCTCGACGTTCCTCCCCTCGGTAGGCGGCGGGGGGCTTCTCAGAAGGCGCAGGGGGCTTCTCTGAGGCCTCCGGGCCCTGCTGAGAAGTCCCCTGCCTTCTGCGTAGCCCCCCGCCTTCACGGGCCGTCCCCCCCTCACGCCACCCCCAGTGGCGCGGCGCCATCCACCGGGACCCCCTCCCCGAAGGCCAGGCCCACACCCGCGGCGTCCTCAGCTCTTCACCAGCGCAGTGGGCCCCTGGAGCTCTCGGCACCTCCTCTGGGCTCTGGGCACCCTCCTCCCGAGTCGGTCCTCGACGCCCTGGGCCTCTTCCGAGAAGAGATCTGGAGGCAAACCGAGTGGCAGGGGCACGCCGGCCGCAGCGAGGTGCGGTGGTGGATGGCGGGTAGCCGACGGGTAGACGCAACTTGCAAGTGTCTTAGGGCGTCCTTGGGGCCGTGTCTGACCGTAATGGAATTGGTTCCACAGATCTTCAAGATATCATGTGCTCCCCGCTCTCTTCCTCCTCCTTACTACTCCTTCCTCTTCCGCCCCCTCTTCCTGCTCCTCCTCCTCCTCCTTCTCCTCCTCCTCCTCCTCCTCCTCCTCCTCCTCCGGGGGTCGGCCTCGCCAAGCGAACTCGCCAGGGCCCAGAGCTCTCAGAGAGCAGGGGTTGACGCTCCCAGGGCAAGGCAAGGGCGTCTTGGCCCCTAGTGAGCGCGGCCAGCTCGGGCCTGAGCCCTTCCGATGAGTGCCCGCAGCGACGCTGCTTGTGGATGTTTTCTGACCCTTCTGGGTTTCAACATTTGGCCGAAGGGTGAGGGAGGGGGGGGGGGGTCTGGGTCTGGGCCAGTCGCGCAGGTCACAAGCAGCCGCCAAAAGCAAGCAGGATCTGGTATGTGAGTGGGGGAATGGAGGTGGGGGCAGGGGCCCACGCCGATCGGCGAAACAAGACATAAAAAACGGCGACCTCCGCCCCCCCTCTGACTCCGGATCCGCCGTACTTTCTGCGATTCCTCAAGCAGCGCGGCGATTCCTGCACTACCTTTCAGGCTCCTCTGATGCCGAGTTCCGCCCCAGCTTTGCGACCGCTGCTTCCGCCACACCTTTGCAGAAGATCCGCCCGACTCGTCTGAGGCACAAGCTTCCGCTCCACATGGTCGTTCGATGTGCATTGCCGACGCAGTTCGAGATCGAACAATCAATGCGGAACAAATAGCTGCATTAATCCTGGACTTTCGACGGTCCGCGCGGGCTTCTTGGATCTGAGCTGGGCCCTCCTCGCTGGGGCGCGCAGCATGCCAGGGGCGGCGCCGAAGGCGCCGCCAGTGGGGCCCAGCGCCGACCCAAGGAATCTGCGCGGAGCTGCGAGAAATGAAGTTCATGCAGCTTTTGCCGCCGCGGCGCTTCTTCTGAACACGCTCAAGCAGACGAAGCCGACACCACGGCAAACCCAAAACAAGCCTTGCATTTGACGCGGAACTTCCCCGCGTCGGAACACACGGCGCGGCGACAGATTCGAAATCGGCCCAAGTACGGTGGGTCCGCCGTCAGGACCCCCTCGGCGCCGCGGGGCTCGAAGCGTTGAACTTCGGGTCGAAGCCCCACGCCGGGGCGCCCGCGAGCAGGCTACTGGTCTCGGGGGCCGCTATGCCGAAGACCACGTTCACCTATGGCACCGCTCTTCCCAGAGGGGGCAGGAGAGAAGATGAAGAGTGAGGAGGAGGAGGAGGAGGAGGAGGAGGAGGGATGAAGAGGATGTGCAATAAGAGGGAAGGAAGAGGAGGGGCAAGGTGGAGGGAAGCGCAGGAGGAGGTCAACTGCGACGAAGAGTGCCATGAGCACGTGCCCTGAGTGCCATGAGCACGTGCCCTGGCGCCCACGGGCTCGAGTGCGGCAAACGGTCAAGACTCCCAACGCAATCGTTGATAACTCTCGGAGAACCACGCCGCGAGTTGGGCCGCTTTTTCTTTGACCCCTCCCCAACGATCAGCTGAATTATGCCGAACGCAGAACCACCTCCATCCCCTCCCATCCCCCAACCCAACAACGTGGTGTAGACCCATCCCTCGCCGAGTCCGCGGCGGTCGGTCGGTTTGGCGTTGGCGGCGGGGGAGGCGCCACCTCGGCGCTTGTTAGCTAGTGTAAAGCGCACGCTGTACATACCAAAGCCGTCCTGGCCAGGCCCAGTCTGAGTCCATAAAACAAGGCTAAGATCGGGATAAATCGCTCCAGAGCGTTCCGGAGCGCTCTCAGAGCGTTCCGGAACGCTCTGGAGCGGCCGCGGCGCCCAATACATCCTCCAAACCCGCCGATTCTCAGAGATTTCGAGTTATCCCGATCCGATTTTGCCCCGATCGTCGCGTCGCTTTAGTCCAGGAGCCAGTGCATACACCATCCTGGCCTGGCCTGGGAGGAGGACGCACCGATCCTGGGCCCAGGATGGGGGGTGCCCAGGCTCGCTCTCGCGCGCCTCGCTGCACGAGCTGGCCGGGCCCGCGCGCTGCCTCCCCTGCGCCGCGGGGCGCGGGGCCGCGACGCCACATCGGCCAAGAGAGGGGGGGAGGGAGGCAGATGCGCTCGAAGTGCGTCCCGAAACTGACGAGTTGTTCTGACTACCTACCAGACCACCCCAACCCAACCCGAAGACCCGAATTTGACCCGAATTTCGGGTTGGGGGGGGGTACAATACGGGTTCCATGTGTTTTTCCTCTCCGACCCCCCCACTGGAAATCGAGGACACATTTGGACCTTCGGGTTGGGTTGGGGTGGTTTGGGTGGTGATGTTCGTGCCGCGTCCAGCCGTGGCGACGTGGGGGCCCCTTCTCCCACCGTTCTGCTGGCCGACCCTGTGCTGGGCGACCTCAGCCACTGATGGCGCGCGTCGGCGCGAGGAGCACTCGCCCTGAGAGCGAGCGCTCCTGTCGTGGTGTGGCAACGATAGCCTCTGGCGGCGAGGTCAGCGAGAGCCCCGGCTGCCCCGCCGCGAAAGCCTCTCGCGGCGGTCCAGCCATCGGCACAGGGCGCATGCGGACCGAGCCCGACTGCGGGCTGGTGCCCGCGAGCGAGGGCACAGCGCGTCGGCAGAGGCACGCCTACCGGCTTCCGCCTCAACGAGGGACCCAGCATTGAGAAAGGGGCCCAGGGGGACACAAACAAATTTACACGTTCCAGAATTCCCTGCCCTTTCTATATATTCCCCCGGGTTTCCTCCTCCCCTCGGTTGCCCATACATCTTAATTATGCCACGCAATTCGTTCTGTTTGTTTTGTGCCCACTTTCCCATGCTGCATAGAAGCCCCCCAAACGGGGTTCGAGTAGATTAAGTCATCGCGCCGCATCGCCGATGCATCGCGCATGCATCGGCGACGTCGGCGATGCATCCGCGACGCCGGCGTGGAGAAGACCAGTCCCCATTTGGAGGCCGGTCGAGAACTTTGCTTAGCGTGTCGCCGCGGCGCCCCGGCGACACGCTATGATCCGAGTGGATAGCGTGCTCCGCTCCGCGGGGCGGGAGGCTCTGGAAAGCTCAGGGCGTTGACGCTCAGGGACCGGGAAATGGATAGCGTGTCGCGCCGCAGCGTGGTGGGCCAGAACCATCGGAGCGACACGCTATCCAAAAATCCCCGACCGTAGACAGGAGGGGAAGGGCCGACCATGGGTGACCGCGCAGCGTGCCAAGGCCGAAAGCTCCCCAGGCAGAGTCGGTCGCAGGCTCGAAAGGCGGCAGGCGAGGAACTCCCTGGCCGAAGGGAGCGCGGCGCTCCACGAAGGCGGTGCGCCGCCTGACGAATGCGCGGCACCCCCTGGCGACTGGCCGAGCGCGCGCGCGCGCCCATCCGGCATGTCGCCACCACCTCCAACAACAAGAGAGGAGGAGGCCTGGGCCCCCCGCCAAGGGGAGGACCAGCAGGGGGGCGCCCACCCCCAACCCCACCCCCCCGAAACGCTGCCGAGGCCCGCGCTGGCAGGACAGCGCCGCCCGCCGCCCGCCGCCGCGCCGCCGCCCACCGCTGCCGCCGCCGCCGCCGCCCACCGCTGCCGCCGCAGACGCCGCCGGTACAGCCGCCGCCGCCGCCACGGACGCCACCGCCGCCGCCGCCGCCGCCACGTCGCCGCCGTTGCCGCCGCCGCCGACGCTAGAGGACAAGAATGCATCGATACCGCTACTTCCAGAACCTCTCCCAGGGTGCGTCCTGACCAGAGCTTCGAAGCGAAGTCAGCGGTAGCGACGAGGGCCTTCCGAGGAGGGCCGCCGCCGCCGCCCGCGGCCGCCCGCCGCCCACGGCCGCCCGCCGCCGCCGCCGCCCCCTGACGCCGCCCGCCGCCGCCACGTCGCCGCGCTGCCGACCGCCACCGCCTCGCCGCCGCATAGCCACCGCCGCTTGCCGCGCGCCCCCGTCGCTGCAGCGTCGCCGCCGCCGCCCGCCGCTGCCGATGCTGCCGCGTCGCCGCCGACGCCACTTCGACGCCGCCGCACAGGCCTCTGAGCGCGCCGTGCCGCCGCGCTGCTGCAGCCGGCGGCCCGCGGCCTCCAGGGCGCTGGGCCCGGCGGCCGCGTGCGAGGGCGCCGCGAATTCCTCGGGGGGAAGAGAGGGGGCGTCGTGGCCCAGAAGCCCGTCCAGGGGCTGACTCATGAATCTACGACGTGGCGCGGCGGCGAAACTGGATCAACCGGACTCGCGGCGCGGCGAAAGCGAGCTGGGCGCGAGCGGACCGAAACGCTGCACGGTCCGCACAGCAGTCGCCGACTCCGCCTCGCCTCGGTTCTACAAGTCACGCCTGCAGCGCGACGTGAGAAAGAACAGATTCGCGGGGAGGAGGGAAGAGCGGGCAGCTGGAGGAGGAGGAGGAAGAGGAGGAGGGAGGCCGCGGTCGTCGTCGTCGTCATCGTCGTCGTCATCGTCGTGGTCGTCGTCGCGGACGTCGTCGTAGTCGTCGTCGTGGTCGTTGTCGCGGTCGTCGTGGTCGCCGTTGTTGTCGCGGTCGCCGTTGACGCCGCCCCCCGCGCCGTCCGAGGCAGGGAGGAGGATGAGGAGAAAAGGGACCACACACCGTTGTGATAGAGGAGCCTCTCGAACTTGACAGTGGCGGGGTGTAGCTGCAAGCGATGATCACGCCCATTTTAAGAGGCACCTGACCGCAATACAGAAACAGTCTAGCAAACCTTTTCCCTGCGCGAATTGCAGCTGCGCCTGCAGCCTCCCGCACCAAAGGTGCGCCCACTTGACGAGGGGTGCGGCGCCCCCCGCGCCGCCCAGCCTGGCTGTGCCAGTCTGAGCCGACGCGCGGGGCGTCAAGGATGCAAACACCCGCGAATTCGGGACGCGAGCGCCAATGCCTGCAGGATGCAAGCGCCAATGCCTGCAACACACGCGACCCCGAGGCGCGCCGCGATCCGCCCCACTGGATCCCGCGGCGCGCCTGCACGGAGCGCGCAACGCACTGCAAGCAGAAGAACAACCGTCCCCCCGTGCGCGCGGGAACCCTTTTCGCGGGGCCGCGCGCAGCAACGCACATGCCGTCGCCCCCTCTGGCGCGCGCGAACCCTTCTCGCGGGGCTGCGCGCCGCGAGGCGCAGGAGAACGGGAGGCGGCCCGCGCGCACAGCTCGCCAGCCTGCGCGCGGGCGCGAAATTTGCGCCCGCGCACAAAGCAGCTCAAGTGTGCGCGCGCATTCGATGGCGTTGTGCGCCCGCCAAAAATTGCAGCTGCGCGCGCAGCCTCCCGCACCCACAGGTGCCTGCGCCACCTTCACAAGGAGTGCGGCACCCCCCGCGCCGCTCAGCCTGGCGGTGCCAGTCTGAGCCGACGCGCGGGGCGCCAGGGATGCAAGTACCCCGATCGCCGGTGCACGCTGGTGCCCGCGCGGCGGCGACGCGCACGGCACGCGCACCCCTCGCGAAATCAGGCGACGCGCGCGGCAGCGCCGCGATGTCGTGACCCGCAACGACGTGAATGAACGTTTCAGGACAGCGCGACGCCTGGGTCGCCAGTGCTTAGTCACGGTCGTCCTCAGACTCAGCTAAAGGCGCCTCGACCACTGCGCCGAGTTCTAGTTGCGCAATGTCTCGGTCCGACATGGAGGCGGGCGAGGACCATTCGCCCTCTTGAAGAATCTCGCGCGAAGTACCTCCCTCCTGCTAAAGGTCCAATGCGCGCCCGCGCCGCAGGTCATGAGTGCGATAGAGCGTCTCGTCTTTGACGCCGAGCTGGGCGAGGAACAAGCGCAGCGTGCGCAGCGAGCCTGCCGCGCGAATGCCCGAGAACGGCCTGGCGTCCACGGGCAGACCAGGCGCCAAGTTCGTCAACTGGGCACGTCGCGCTGCAGAGATAGCACCAGCACGCCCGCTGCAGCACGGAACCGACTTGCTTTTTCTTGCGGCGCGCTAACTTGAGCTGCAGGAGGCCATCGCACAAAATGTGTGAGCCCCCTGCGCACTGGCGAAAGGCAGCGCCGTCGAACGAAAAGATCAATGTCTCCGATGGAAGGCGCGACAGAAACACGTACGTGCCGTTCTTTCGCAAGCTGCAGCATCGCGCAAACTGCGTCTTCCCAAATGAACAGTGGTGCTTTGAGCAGGAAGGCGCATCGCTTGCGAATCGCACATTTGGTGCGGCGAAGGGGCGCATTACGAAATACGTCCACAATGAAAACGCAAACCTGACAAGCCAGCTTGACGTGCGAGATATAACGGAAAAAGGTCTGATCGGAGCGAGTTGGCAGCGAACACGCGAGCAGCCCGTCGGCGGACGGCAGCAGCTCGCGTCCGCGCAGCGCTACAGCCTCGCGCGCGAACGCGAACCGTGCTGCCACGCCGCTCGTGAGAGAGGCGATGGAGCGCGGGCGCGCGCTCGGGAGGGCCGCTGCGCGCGCCGACGACGGCCGCTCAGCGACGCTCACTGTGCCTTCCTGGCTGCCGAGCCGCCAGCGAAGACCGCGGAGCTCCGCGCGCAGGGCCACCGCCGCGCTGCGGCGCGCGGACCCCCTCAGCGCCTCCGCAGCCTTTGCTTCGAGGAGCGCGTCGACGGCCACGCCCCTGGCCTGGCCAGCGCTCGGACGTCCAGTCCCTGTGCTTTTTCCGGTTTCGTGCGTGGCTTTTTCGCCAAAGATCAAGGATGCTCCTCGATGGTCCTCGCCGAAGGAAAACTGCACACGTCCAAACGATGCCAAGTGGCTGCCAGCGCCCGCGCCGGTGCTGGCCTCTGGACTCCGGCTACCACCTGCGCGCACGCGCGGGCAGGAGCAGCCGGGGCGCGTCGCGAAGTGCGTGAGCCTGATCGCGCGTCGCGAGTGCGATGGCCTCGTGGCTTCCGATCGTATGGAAACGTGGGATTCAAGATAATCTCTGAATGCGTTCGAAACATGTTGGAGGTGCTGTTTTGGAGATGTTCGACACATGCTCGATGTTCAAGAAAGAGCAAGACGAGGGAAGGGTGACGGAGAAGGCAGGCTTGGAGGAGGAGGAGGAGGAGGAGGAGGACGACGACGACGACGAGGATGACGAGGCGAGCAGGATGGCAACGAGGACAGGGGGGCGGAGAAGGAGGGGGGAGGAGGAGGGGGCACGGACAGCGCGAGGAGGGTATATAAGCTGATATGTGCTGAACGATGCATATATATATATATATATATATATATATATATAACTGATTTGCCAATACACTGGTATGTGTTTGGTTCCTACATGTGTTGAGCACTGTTTTGCGCGAAACGCCCGACCCCGCGGAGCGCGCCCGCGCGCCTCGGGGCTGGGCGACTCGGCCTCGGCAGAACAAGAAGTTCTATTTTCGGCTCCGCGGCAGAACTTCAAGATCTGCCGAGAAGCCGAATGTAAAACTTCAAGTTCTTCATTCGGAGTCGGAGTCGGAGTCGGAGGTGGAGGCGGAGTCAGAGTCGTCGGAGTCGTCTGAGTCGTCGGAGTCGGAGGTGGAGGCGGAGTCGGAGTAGTCGGAGTCGTCGGACACGGAGTCGGAGTCGTCGGAGTCGTCGGAGACGGAGTCGGAGTCGCCGTCAGCAGAGGAGCCGAAAGTAGAACTTGAAGTTCTTCCTTTGGCTCCTCGGCAGAGGTTGAAACTCTACCTTCGAATCCTCGGCAGAACGTCAAGTTCTGCCGAGGAGCCGAATGTAGAACTTCAAATTCTACATTCGGAGTCGGATTTGGAGTCGTCGGAGTCGGAGTCGTCGGAGTCGGAGTCATCGGAGTCGTCGTCGTCGTCGTCGTCAGCAGCAGCAGCAGCAGCAGAGGAGCCGAATGTAGAACTTCAAGTTCTTCATTCGGAGTCGGAGTCGTCGGAGTCGTCGGAGTCGTCGGAGTCGTCGGAATCGTCGGAGTCGGAGTCGGAGTCGGAGTCGGAGTCTTCGGAATTTTCGTCGTCGGAGTCGGAGGCGGAGACGGAATCGTCAGAATTGGGGTCATCGGAGTCGTCGGAGTCGGAGTCGCTTTGGAATCCTGGACAGAACGCGCCAACAGAGAGGTCCAGGGAGTGGCGGTACGGTAGGTTCGCGTCGTGTCGACGGGCGGCAACCCCGCCGCAGGCGTTCAACGTTGAATGCCGCCAGCGATCCAGAATCGGTCGTGTTGAACGATCTGACCTCTCGGAAACGACCGATCGTGTTCAAGGTTGAGCGATCTCCGTGCTGTCAGGAACCAGCGCCCCGAAGTCGGAACGAGGCGAACCCCTGCGGACGATCGGTGGAGGGTGGGTTTAGACAGCGGGGTCTGGGCTCGAGGTTCGAGGCTTGAGGTTTTCGGGCGTTCTTGTCGGTCCTCGGCAGTTTCCCAGCCCCAAGATGCCTTCCATCAAGATCGTCCCGAACGGCCGCCTGAAAGCCAAGCTATGACCCGGAAGCCCAGGGGAAGGGGAACACAAGGGGCAACGTCAAGGGGGGATAGTCACCAGAGGGCAGGCTGAGACAACGGTAGTTGGCCTTAGGGCCCCCCCCCGCCGCCGCGGCGACGCAGCTCGGGAAACTTGTGCGCTTGGACGCTTGGACACCACGAGGGCGCCAGGGACCGACTCTGAGCTTCCGCTGTCTCAACTCGGCTTGATGTAAGGATCGGGAGGTGCGGGGGGGGGGGGGCGATTCTGCGCTGCCGCTGCCTCACCTCTCCTTGGTCTGGGGATCGGCCATGGTCCAGGGATCGGGGGGAGGGCGGGGGGGGGGTCGGCTGGTCGGTCGGGGCGCCATGGGCTCCACTCTCTCCTTCCTCCCTTCCTCTGCGTACCTTTCTCCGTTCCTCCTTCCACCTTCCCCTTCCCTCCCTCCCTCCCCCCTCCTCCCCAAAGCGCGGAGGCCGAAGGCCCGTTGTCGGTGTTGCCCTGGGCCGGGGAGTTGCCCGGTCCGATTGGATCAGCATCGTCCGAAACATAGTCCTTCCCTCCCTCCCTCCCTCTTCTCTTCCCTCCTTCCCTTCTTCTGCCTTCCTGCCTCCCTTCTCCTTACCCTCGCTCCCCCCTTTCCTCCCTGCCTGCCCCTTCTCCCCAGGCCCCGACACTCGTCCACCTCTGGGACGAGTGGCCACTGGGATCCGGAGCAGGCCCGACTCCGCCGAAAGCCAGAGCCGAGCGGGGCTCAA